AATGCACGTAGGCTTCACGCCTGAGGCGTTCCCGCGGGCAAACACGGGGACAAATCTTTGCTTTTAGAAAAGGCCAGAACAACAATTCGCCATTCGCATGGGCAGTCCTCAGATCCACTGCTAAAAGTTTAACTTTTAGTGGCTTAAATGGAAATCCCGACTAGACGCTAAGAAGCTAAACAGCTCAGGGGATGGCTGGGGACCACTAAGTTGCATGGGCCCTATGGCAAGAGTCTGCTGTACGTTCCAGCAACACTGGCGCAGGGTGGCCGTGACTTGCGGATCGCTCGCCTGCTTTGACAAGCATCATGAACCAAGCCCCGCACCCGGCCGTGCTCTCAGATGTAGAACTTAGTTGCCATGAGTGCAGCCGAAGGATTTCTTCACATCCAAATGCTTCAACCACACAAATGCAGACGCTGGCAAACAAGCCAACCGGCCAGCCAGCATACCAACCTGGCAAACAAACAAATAGTCGTGCAAACAAACAAACAATCAGATTGACAGGCTGACAAAAAAACAAAAACACACACACACACACACCGACAAACAACCAGTCAGCCAACAAGGCAAGCAACCAAACAAACACACAACTACACAATCACACGAACACGAAAACACTGCAAGAACGCAAGCAAGTGTACAAGCGAGCAAGCGAGCGAGCGAACAAGCAAGCAAACAATCAAGCAAACCCAACCACACAAACAGAACAAGCACATGAAACAACACAGAAACTACACAGAAACTACAAAATAAACCCGTGCAAACAACACACGCACAACAAACAACACAATCACAAGCAAATGGCAATCACAACAGGCAAACACCACAAATACATAACAAACATCAAATAAACACCGCAATCAAAACAACAGCCACACACACAGAGTGAATAAGAAATGTCTGCGTGCAGTGAAGACATGTTCCAAGGACAGCGCTCAAGTAGAACGAACACTAATTGCATGTGAGTGGTGGCTTTTCTTCCCTTGAAATTTGAGAAGATTTATGGCGGGCATGTTTCTATATTCTCTAAGTGCTTCCGCGGCGAACAGTGTGTTGCAAGAAGGAATTTGTGCGCATGATCTGCTAGTACTTCAAGGATAACAGCAAATTTACTTCTGGACAAAAAACAAATCAACTACGTCCCTTCCGCGCACTCCCACGGCTGCTATCTTGTTTGTTGAGATGCCCACCTCTAGACGCTTCTGTTTGAGCGTGGACAAAAAAGCCACTCATGTGCATACAATGTGCTAAATAACACCCGCAGTTGAGGCTAGGAAGCGCAGTGACACACGCGCACACACACACACAATGCTCCTGGGTGAGTCATGGTAGCACTTCTTGTTCCATACGACAGCCCTCCTTTTCGTTCCTTGCCAGGAAACAAAAGTTTCCAACAAACCCAGGATTGGCACCAAGTCTTCTCGCTCAGAAACCGTCCTCAACAGTGTGCATGCCCTTCTGGCCTCATTTTTTTCCGAAATCCATGGCTCCTTCACTGGGTTGACAGTAGCGACCTTTCTGCGGCCCTGGCCCGGACCGCAGAGTAGCTCCCCTGGCGAACCAAAGATGTTTACACCACGTGGACTTATCACTTGAAGGTTGCTCAACAACCCTTCCTCCACGAGTGGCCCTTGTCATGTTGCGCACTTGCGCGATGGGTGCGCAATCATCTGAATTATATTTCCGTAAGATGCAATGTTGCAGCAGAAACCAACCACATATCGCAATTCAACTGGTGGCACCCCGAACAGCTTCCCTGGAGTCCTTGAACCACAAACCCACAGCGATTTCGGACGACCCAGCCTAAGCCATCAACACACGGCGGCTTACCCCAACACCACTTGGAGTCTGGGAGTCTTGGAGTGCAAGCCCGGCAACCAGGGAATGGCAGTGATTCTCTGAAACGTGATTTTGCAGCAGGAGCTAAGCAGGGTATCACTTCAGGATGCTAGGATTCCAATGGCACGGAGCTGCTGTGGTGCAGGGGGGGGGGGGGGGAACCCTGAAATCCCTGCAGGGTTCAATGCCACAAAACAATGAACATCCTGACAACAATTGAATCAATTTGTGCGTTAAATATGTCATTAACCTACATGCGACTCCCGCGTCCCCCTGAGACGCACCTGACGCTCTCCAGGCTGGGCCTAGCATCCGGCAGGCTGCTTTGCCAGAGAACAAGCTCTTAACACAAGGCTCCACCGAATACTAAACTGAAAGCAATCAGTTCGTTGCACACCCTCTAGTTGCTTGACAGGCTTCTTGAACTAAACACAGGCCCTGTGCCGCCCAGCGCCCGGTCAGCTGAAACAATGAAAAGCAGCTCGTGTCCTTGTGATCTGCCCAAAGGAGCCTTTTCTGCAGTGTCATTGGATTCTTGCCAAAAAGGCCGAAACCTGGGCTTCGCCAGGGAAATCATCGGGCGACACCACTTTCGGAAGGTTTAGGTCCACATTTTTTGGATTTACGCGCCACAAGCTGACCTTTGCGCCTCAAAGTTGGGGCGAAGCCCCGGCCGCGGCATTGGCAGATTCCTGGATTCTGGGCGTCCGGCATGGTCGCCGCCGGCACGTCTTCCCAGTCCTCTGGGAAGGGCCTCAGCTCGAGCTCTGTGGGTTTCGCAGGCGAAAGGGGGGGGGCCAGTGGTTGGGTTTCTTTGCAGTGAACTGGGCCCGCCAAAAAGTAGCAAAATGGGCCCACCAAGTGGCTGCATTCCGGTTTGACGGACCTGGGATTTTGCACCAAACAGAAAAGAAGAAGAAGAGAAGCACCATGAAGAATGTTTGTTTTGTTGAAAACCAACTTAAAAAGGGTACTCTTAGGAAAACAACACATGTGGTGATGATTCGATTCAAAGCGACTCGACTGAATTTGCCAGGAAGATCGGCCCGTTTTAACAGGTTGAATATAGGGACCCCTATTAGGACCCCTGCCGTAAGGACGAAAAGGGGGCGTTTTTTGGGGGTTCATACCCGGCATGCGGACAGATCCGGGCTGCCGGGCAGGACGCGCTGAATTTCGTTGTGCGCGTTGGCCGCCAAGTAGGTCCCCAGGCCCTGCGTCCGACCGGCACGGACGAGAGAGATGTTGGAGCCATGTTTCAAGGGGGTGCTGCTGATCCCCCTGCAGAAAAGTCAAACTTTTTTGTGGGTGTGGACATTTCCCAAAAAGTTAAAGTCTAAAGATCCAACCCAATAGCAGTCAAGCTGTTGTCTCCGAATATTTCACATGGCTCAAACACGGTCCAAACATCTCAGGCATCAAACATCTTCTTTCTCATGTTTGAAAAATGCCCTTATTTCTTAGAAGCTTCACTTCTGGAGCATCTAAAGGCCTCAAAATGCCTCAAATTCTTAGGACACACCCGCATGAAACCATATTATGGCCATGTTGAACTGGTTTGGTGGTTGCGTAGGGGCTTATGTACGGGCTCATGCATTCTGCCTTTGACCACTCCGCGTCCCACCAAAATTTGTATGGGAAGCCCGGACTGTTCCTCAAAGACTTTGCGTCGTGTCACCAGGCTCAAATGGGCCCTGCTACTTTTGACAAGCCCTCAAGCTCATTTGGGGCTGTCTCGAAATTGAACAAGCACCCAAACGCGGATGGTTGCTTCTTGAATTCCCTTGAAGTTCATCACACAATAAAGTACCCCTCCCTCCCCCCCCCAACAAAAAACTGACTCCCAGGGCCTTGGGTCACGTGGTGTATTAGAACTTGGCATGCGGACAACAGGCTTGTCATGGCCACCAATCCGGAAGCCCTGTAAATTAGACAAAAGACCCGCCTTGTGTCAGCGCACTGCATATAGACACGCCCAAAAATGCACGCTCTTTTCAGAGGCCAATCGCAAGCATAGCTTGTTTGACGAAGCAACGCACAATACACGGACATTGCTTTGCTCAGCAAGCTTTGTGTTGATTGGACAAAACATGCGAAGCCTAGCCGGAACACACGCGCACACACACACACACCAGCGAGCAAGTAGTGACCATGCAGAACACAGCCATCTGGACAAATTGCTCTAGTTCACAAACCAGAAATAAGGAAGCCAAACAACGCATATACCTTCGGTTGCTTTCTGCTCCCCTGCCAAAAGTTTAACTTTTGGTGGTTTAATGGAAAACCCATTGGTTGGCAAACAGTTAAAGTCCTAACATCCAAGCAAAATGCACCAAGGTACCTTCACCGGGGGCCCGAGCTCGATTCCCCCGCCCAGTGCCCGGCCATGCACAACGGTGCCACCAGCATAGCTAAGCTCTCCGCCTAAGTGAAGCAATCGAATTGCAAAAAGTCAGCAAACAAGCACTACTAGGTCCTCCAGTAGAGAGGTTTGAATAAAGGTACCCATTTTTTCTGCAGTCTATTTTAGTAGAGGAACCCTCCCCAAAAAAGGGGAAGGGCACTGCTGGGGGACCTAGACTACAAAGTGCAGCCCTTTTTACGGCGTGCGAAACGAGCGCCGGAAGAAGCCACAGCAGTTGTTGCTGTTGGCTTTGGAAGACATGTCTCTGCAATCATCTTCTCAGATTCCTGCGTAGTCTGGCCCTCATGCAACTGCCTTTGCAACTCCAAACACATCGCGTCAGGACTATTGTTGCAAGCATACCAGACAGCATCCTCACCCATATTGCTCGGAATCGGTGCATGAACTTGTCTGGCCGCCTGCAAATTCACACTATCCGGATTGAGAACTCAAGGTCCAACCTTAAGCCGGCTTTCCAAGGTTTCCACTGGACCAAGTTCAAATACCGGAAATTGTGTAAATTGACAAAGATGGAGTGATGGGCTGGGCCTTTTCACGGAACAGATCTTCAAGATGCACTTCCCATGAACTGAGTCTGGTGATGTATTCTGTGGCTGCTGGTCAAAGTCAACAAGTCTGCATACAGCTAACCTTTGAAGATCTTTGAAGCAAACCATGCAAAGATCAACTCTGGCTGGGAAGTTAGGGTTCCACCCAAAATTTGGCAAACTGTGCATTTGCAAGGTCACTAGGATCTTGGGCCGACAGAAATCGAGCGGAAGATTGGAAACAGGACCTCCTCGGCCGTGGCCGCACTCACTTCGCCAGCCGTTCTTCCAGGGAGTAGTCGCCTGATGGCATGGCGCGCGGCGGAAGTGCCCGAGTTTTCTTGAAACGTGTCCATGGAGGACATGTGTGTGTGTGTGTGTATCATCGTAGTTTGGCCAACAACCATAGTAATTGTAGGCAGGTGCGTGCCACGTTAGTAGAGTAACCAGTCCCAGCAGCTGCCTTTTTTGGTGGCTTTGCTTGTTGGTAAAGCATCCCGCTGAAGACGGCAAAACCCTCCAAATTCCACCCGTATATTTTGGCTTGCTGGTTCTCAAGACACTGAATTGGAATGAATCCCAAGAAGAGATGGCTCTCCTTTTGCCGCAATGTGTACTGGTCGTGGGATTCTGCAAGTTCAGGTTCTTGGTTGGGATCATGGTGCAGTGTTTTTCAATCGGCAGAATGGCCAACTTCTCCTCTACACATGTGCATGGCATATTTTTTGACGGGGGTCACTTATCATGTCACAATATGCCACAATCACGGATTGCAACCGTGTCCCGTGTCCTGCCAATCCGTTGACATCTCAGTTATTTTGCTACGGGCTGCCCTCCCGAGGAGAACTATGGCTCTTGCGTTTTGTACGAACACTTGGTGCCGAAGGGGGGGATGTAGTTCCTTGAGAACAAATCAAACTTATGTGCTATGTAGCACCCAGCCCAGTAGCCAAACAGCACTTCCCTGGAACAGCCGACAAGTTTCGCAGCTCGCAAGTGTGCCTCCAATAATCTTCTGGCCTGCAGGGCGAAGGAAGTCAAACAAAAATCAGGCGGTTTCGGCGCAACGTGCCGCTGTCAAAAAGTGGAACGGCATGTCAGAAATTCCTCCCAAAGTCTAAGGGTCACGCTGGCCAGCCCCAGCCCCAAGACTTTCTGGTGGAAAGCAAGCAGGGGTACCAAGTCCATAGATCACATGCTGACGTTGATGTCTTTACAAGGAGAACGGCTCGGAAGCGCCATGATCTGCCACCTTTTGCCACCTTTTGCCCCCCCCTGTCCAGCCGTAGGCCCGGATCTATTTGGTTCTCCAAAAGAAGATCAAGTCCAATGGTTGATAATGCCTATGACTAAGGGGCAACCCCAAGTCCGCAAAAAAAGGCTTCCGCCAGCCTTTTGTGGAAAGCACAAGCTTTTGAGGATCGAGCCCAAGGATGTCTGCGGGTTCAAAACAGCGTGCAGGGCCCTGCTAACTGGCTCCTTGCACCTTGCTACTAGAGGTGGTTTGCACAGTTGACAAGGAGCCGGGTACCTGCACAGGGCCGCGCTTTTCAGCATCCGGCCATTCCCAAATTCTTGTGACTTCCTCATCTTTTCCAAGCTCTCATCACACGCAATGCGTATCCAATACTAAAACAAATCTAAACTCTGACGCGGGCCTGGGGGGCGACCCCCAATTAGCATGGCGCGTTCGGCAGATTCATCATCTCCCCCCCCCAAAAAAAAAAAATCCGGCCCAAGCAAAACTCGGGATGCATCTTCAATCCTGCAGAGCGGCCACCTACCGCTACCGTCTACCACAAACCACCTTTTCCGAGGTCTGACCTTCTGGGGGAGAAGGGGGGGGGGAGTTGTTCTTGTTGACATTAAGATCAATCTGGTGGTTTCCATTGGACCCATTGGTGTTTTCCACTGAAACCATCTCAGGGTTTATTATTACTAGGGGGTGTGGTGTTTGGCCCCAAAAGCTGTCTGATTCCTTCCAACCACATGTTCACCCAGTCAGAAGCACTTATGAATCACCTGGCTGATGGAACAAAAACTCGGGCTCAACATGAAAACTCCCTGACCAAAAAAAAACCGGGGGTCAACAATAACAAATATTTCAAAAACACTGGTGTCTTGGTGTCCCTTGGACTTTCCCATGGCCAAAGTATTGGGTCAACCATAACAAGGTGGGGGTCAAACATATTCGTTTGTTTTCCGCTCCCCTGCCAAAAGCTTCTCATTTTTAGTGGTTCAATGGACAACCCATCAGTTTGGGTCAAAAAGTTAAAAGTCCCCACAGCCCTGGGCAAAATGCGCCAAAAACTTATCGGTTTTTTTCCCTGGGGCGCAGCCTCCCGTCGCTTCGGCCGCTAAGGCCGGCCTGGCACGAAGGTGCCCAGCGGCTTCAGCTCCCCCGGCTTCACCTCGAAGTGAGACGACCAAACAGCCAGCCCGATCGCAACCCAAAAAAGAAGACGCCAGAGGGCCTGGGCTCAGAAGGAAAAAACACAAGTCATGTGCTTCTTTTGTTTTTTTTTGGGGGGGGAGGGTTCCTTGATTTTGTTGCATCTTGTTTCAGGGGTCATGAAAGGGTTCTGAAATAGGTGCTCGACTTTTCAACTGGCTGGCTGGAGTCCTAGGGGTCATCAAAGCGATCCACCATCCAAATCCTTGGGTACGTCTCAAAAATCGAGTGCGCTCCAGGTCGGTAGCTTTCTGTTGGTTCACTTTCAAAAAAACAAGTCCACATGCTGTGTTCCACAAAAACGCGACCTTCTGGGGTCGCCACCCCCGTTGAACCTGGCAAAATCAAAATGACACCAAGATCTCACATATTTCAAAAGGGGGCCTTATGTTTGGCAAGCCTCCGATGTGTGTCTCAAACAGAGTTGGACCCCTCCGCGTGGATTTGCTCCCTATCAAACACCCAGGTGAGATATGCGTGGCTGTTGGATGCTTTTGGACCATGCCAATACTGCAGCGCACACTTCTGGGTTGCTGTGGTTGCTTCCAATCACGCCTTGCGACTGGTCTGGTTTCTCCCAAACCAAACGATAGTCATAGCGCGCGCAAACACACACACACACACACACACCTGCAGAAACAACTCAACACAAGTTCAGTCGCTCCCTCAGCTCCGAGCCAGCTTGTTTAGCTCGTGAAAGCCAGCTCCAAAGACGCTTTTCACATCTGTGGCTTCCTCGGAAACGCGAGATTTTGATCTTGGTCAATGCTAGCTTGTGACAGTCATCATTACATGGACAACAGTGGGCCTCTCATCGCAAAGATGGAGTTGGCAACTAAACCAATGTCAATCAAGTGTATGCGGTCATAACCCCTGCCATGCTGCTAAAACGGCTCGTTCCCGTTTGAAGAGGCAGCAAGTCGCGCCATTGACTGCATGATGCGCATGATTTCCATTGTTTCCGCGCGCCTCCTGGGGTTTGTGGAAAATTTGGGTGCCCGGGCCACCCCTTTTCGCCCTTCCCAAGCCATCTGTAAACCATCGCTGCTCACATCATGAGCTCAGTTGCTAAGTGACCCTGCTAGAAAAAGGGAAGCATGCCTTTTTTGGTTGACTCCATTTTCAGTTGGGACAACGACATGTCCCCTTTTGTGGCTGAATTCCTCTAAACTGATAAATGCTCTGCCAGGCGTCTGGGTCTCGGGGAGGAAACGCCAGCAAAAGGTTCTCAGGCGGCCCAAGCCCGGCCGCCCTGGGATGAGCGGAAGCATATGTTCGAAACCAAAAAAGAAGAACCAAACGGCCCAACCGTTTTTCCACGAGGAAAAGGGCACATTTGTGGGATAGGTGATTGCTTAAAAAGAACTTGTCCAGAAATGCAAGGTCAAAAGGCTTGTCGCTGGGATTGATTTGTTTGAGATGGAAGAGACTTCACTCAATGTTGAATGATTCAATTGGACAAGAACCTAAAGGCTTACACGGTGTGACAAGGAAGAAGCGAGTGGACAGGACCATTGGTCGCCAATCTCTTATCTGGAGAAGCCTGCTCCCTTGACATGTGATATTTCATATATCTTTTTTTGTCGCACCATCTTCTGGTTCTGATTAAAGGGAACCCAAGAAGAGAACAAACCATGTCGGGGGTCACCGGACTCGTTTCAGAGTCCTACACCCGGGCCCCACCCTAGCGTCGAAGATTCCTGAAGGCAATGGAGCCGAGAAAAAGGTAGCTTGATACTCACGTGAGCAATCAAAACCTGGGGCTGACAAGGTCTATGTAAGGAAGGCAAAGGGCGCAACCTATCTCTGGTTGGCACTAACCCTTATCTTCATCTGCCCAGGTTTTGATAGTGGCGCACGTGACATTTCTACCTCTGCATTTGCCGAAAGGCTACTATTTGCTTCTGGTCCAGATTTAGTGAACCTTTAAATGCAGAATATCATCAAAGCTGATCTCAGCAGTGCCCCTCATGCAGCCCTCAAGAAATACCAGTTGCCTTCAAACTCCCGCCGCGGCAGTGGGCAGCAGTGCTGGCAGTCGAAGGAACTCAACGATTGAGCAGCACTCTCAACTCCTGATCCTCAAACACATATTCATAGTAGGTTGTTGCATCTATACGTAGCGACCCAGGCAAGCTGCCAAATAAATCCAAATTGCCCCTGTGTCAGAATTGCCAATCCCATGGGAGTGGCGAGTCCCTTGAAAGCGGTTCAATGCCCATATCTTGCGCGACTTGTTTGTTCTCGTTACCCATGCTCGTTTCCCATTTAAATTTAGCTACACAATAACCAACCATGAGATATGTTTTTGGCACTGGGACACCGCTGAAGCCCCTTGCACATGGCAGACGTCCTCACGTCCTCACTCCAACATTGCTGCGAATGCTGAAAACTGCACATTGAAAGCCAGCATAGAAGGGCGATACAAGTTCTCACAAATATTGTTCTGTTGACATCTTGTGGTTTTCAAGTACCTAACCCCGTTCTAATTGTCTAGGCCGTTGTTTTTCCAGGTTGAGCCATGCTCCGGGTGCCGCTCGCACGCGGCCCTGCGGATCAGGGGATTCCTTGGCCGGTGATGTCCCTGGAATCTAGCCCGGATTCTTGAGAACGCTCTTCTACCCGGGGGCGGCAAAACCTTGAGCATTGATTCCCCGGTTCCCGAGCTGTGCAAGGCACATCAGGTCCAAGATGGGCTTGCACGGCTTGATCTCCTTGATGAAGCGCACCGTGACCTTCAGCTTGCGGTTCAGCCCGCCGTAGTCCCGTAGGCCTCGGGACCGACTGCTTTGAGCTCAGCTGGGAAGCTGACCCTGCCACGAAAAGGGAACCCTTTCTGGGGTTGACCATTGGTTGTTTTATGGAGCCCCAAAAGATAAGACACGGATGCGACTGAACAAGTGGGCTATTGCCTGGATGGTCAAAGCATGCAACGTCACCAGCAATGGGAGAGAGTCATGGCGCCCAACGGGAACTATTCATGAGCGCTTGTCCTAAGTCCCAGTCGATACTGACATGTTCATTGGAAAATCCAGCGATTCATTTCTGCAAACGCTGTGAGCCTAGCAACCCATGTGGATCTGGACTGCAGGGCCATTGTGGGCGACTCAGTGAGGCACAGCAAAACCCCACTTCACAAGTGCCTGACACTGCCAAGCACAGCTGGGGACCCTGAATATGTGTTTCGCTATATATTTGGCTGCTTGCCCGAGGTCCACGAATCTTCCAACCTCAGTGAACCTTGCCTTTCCTTGCAGTGCATCTGAACAATCCGACAGCTAGGGGCCAAAACCCAGTGGGCGAGAGCCTGGGTCAAACTTTCTTGGACATTGTAAGTTTCCAAGTACTTACACAAATGTTCATGACTACGTTTGGTTTGAACGTCTCTCGCAACTCCATTCTAATTACAGCCCGCCCCTCCACCCTCACCCCGCGCCCATGTGCTCACACAACAACACTGTCGTCCGCAAACCACCTTTCAGCTCCCCGCCTCCACCCTCCAGCAGCTCAAGCATCTGCGGCGCATGTTCCTTTCGCGCGCGTGCTGATTACTGGTCCCAACGAATGCTTCGCTGCTTGGCGCGGCTCATTCGCCCTCTGAAAACTGCTGCTTGCGGCCACTTTCAAACTTACACACCCTGAACCACTACACATGGCCTCCACTGCAAGCCATACAATTCGAGCAACCTTCGGGTTTGACTCGGCACTGTCACAAACTAAACCATGACTTACACTGCAATCAAGCAAGGAATTGCTCTAGCCACGCAAACATACGTTGTTCATGCTTCCTGGTTCTGGCCGCCTTGCCCCTACTTTTCTATGTCCACTTCAGCAGCTCCGCATCTTCCCATGCTAGCAGCTTCTAGCTTCTTGAAAGCTCTGCATCCAGCAAGCAATTTGTCCAAACTGTAGCTTAGTAACAGTCACAATAAGAGTCGTTGGCATGAAGACAACGCATAGTGAGGACACCTCCAACTTGTTAGCTTCATTCATATTTTCCTCTCAAGATGAGCAATGCCACACACAACTGCGACACCAAAAGCGCGGGGCCCTACGACCTGCAGAAACTGTGCCCTAAGGACGCCGAGCTTCCGCGAAGGAGACGCCCCATCTGTGCTCCATCTGCCAAAGAGCCGATCTCTGCATGCCTCTCGGCATGCTGCTCCGCACTTCGAAGAGCTCACCCTGGATCTTCCTGTCAAAGGGATCTAGGAGAACCATGCGAGCCAGCTGTTGCCCAAAATGAAAAAGGCACTTATAAATTCTGGTCCATATTTAGTGAAACTCAAAATGTAAAATGATGACAAGAGAGGTTGCAATGCATCATGCCCGCTATGAAAGGATTCTTGGGGTAACATGACAATGTACCACCACCAACTTGCCATGCATTCATGTGTAATATGAAATGCTGACAAACAACCACAATGAGCTTTCTAGACGCTGAGCATTGGCCTGCGCCTTCACGCTTTGCCTTATCCAGTCATCCTCTGCGACGCCATGAGCATTGCTGTCCCCAAACAATCCAACCATATCAGCAATGCTGATTGGCTGGGCAAGGATGTTGGCTTTGCGGGACACACGCGAGGGGCATGCCAGCCACAACAAAAGGGCACCGATTGTCTCAAATCAAAGGAAAGCTGCTAAAAGAGGCCGCCAACCGCAGTCCATTGATACTTCCCCATTTCACTTCCAAGGTGGATTGGTCAAGGAAGGTCAAACAATGTTGTTTGCCACAGTATGCCACAGCAGTAGTCTTCACGAAAAACAAACAACCCAGGAACTCGGGGAGTGAGCCATGTGCAGCCAAATGTCTCATACTCATAGTGCACAAACGGCAGCACCACAAGTTCCTGGCAGGTAATCTGGCAAATGCCAAGCAACCCAAAGAGCCTTGATGAAAGTGCGGGCAACGGGACGTTATTGGCATTAACCGTTGCATTGGGATCCTACCCTGAGTGAACTGGCTCAACGATCTCCCCACAGTGTATGTGCTTCTGAAGTTGGGAACTGGAAACAACCACACACACAAACACACACACACACAACCACACAAACACACACACACACACACAAACACACAAACACACACCAACACACGCCAACACACCAACACGCCAACGCACCAACACGCCACACACACATATACACCACACACACACACACCAACACACCAACACACACACCAACGCGCCAACACACCAACACCAACACACCAACACGCCACACCCACACACACATATATACACCACACACACACACACCAACACACCAACACACACACACACACCAACGCGCCAACACGCCAACACACCAACACACCAACACGCCACACACACACATATACACCACACACACACACCAACACACCAACACACCAATACACCACCACACAACCACACACCACACACATCCACACCACACACCGCACACCACACACACCACACACACCAACACACCCACACACAAACACAAACACAAACACAAACACAACACACACACACACAGACACACACACACACACGCACACACACACAGAGACACACACACACACAACGACACACACACACAGACACACAGACACACAGACACACAGACACACAGACACACAGACAAACAGACACACAGACACACAGACACACAGACACACAGACACACAGACACACAGACACACAGACACACAGACACACAGACACACAGACACACAGACACACAGACACACAGACACACAGACACACAGACACACAGACACACACACACACCCACACACCCACACACGCACGCACGCACGCACGCACGCACGCACGCACGCACGCACACACGCACACACACACACAGAGACACACACACACAGAGACACACACACACAGAGACACACACACACAGGGGCACACACACAGAAACACACACACAGAGACACACACAGAGACACACACACAGAGACACACACACACACAGAGACACACACACACACAGAGACACACACACAGAGACACACACACAGAGACACACACACACACACAGAGACAAACACACAGAGACACGCACACACAGAGACACACACACAGAGACACACACACAGAGACACACACACAGAGACACACACACACAGAGACACGCACACAGAGACACACACAGGGAGACACACACACACGGGGGCACACACACACAGAAACACACACACAGAGACACACACAGAGACACACACACAGAGACACACACACACAGAGACACACACACAGAGACACACACACAGAGACACACACACACAGAGACACACACACACACAGAGACAAACACACAGAGACACGCACACACAGAGACACACACACACAGAGACACACACACAGAGACACACACAGAGACACACACACAGAGACACGCACACAGAGACACACACAGAGAGACACACACAGAGACACACACACAGAGAC